GTGGATAATCTAAGCACTATGTCTGTACCTCTGGGTACTCTTCTCTTAACCTGTGTACTATATAATTTTTTAACATTGCTCTGTGATAGCCTATTCATGCAGGAGGGAGTTGCCACCCCTCCTTGGTTAGCCAGCGATGTAATGCAAGGCTCAATTGTCTACCATTGCCCCATCATAAGACAGTTAATGGAAAACCATCAAAGACAACAGCAACAATCAAAACCAGCTCGAGGTAAAAAGTGAACATTGTAACAGACATGGGATGGCCCTGTCTATGACTAAAGACAAAAGACTGTTCTAGTATAATCCAGAATGGGTAGAGGCACTCTGGATTCATTCATTGAGGAGATATCTATTAGAGTGGGGATGTTTCCATGAAAGGTTGGATCCTGGTTCCCATGAAGCCAGACAGCTCTGCGGCATACTGAACTTTGGGGGAAAACCTACTTTATTAGATAGTCATCTTTCCTATTTGTAACTGTAGGCCCTAGTTTGCATTTTATTATTTCATTTTGTATTGTAACCATTTGTTTTCATTACTCTGTTTCTAATTGAATCTTTATTCTTTTACAATAATACAAAAGTAGGTTATTTTAAGTGCTCACAAGTGCTGTGTGTTATACAGGAGCGGTGGTTTATGGAAAACTGGTAAACTAGGGTACACAGCTCCTTTGGAGGCAGAGGACCCTCGGATTTTTGTGACTAGCAAACACCAGGAGCTGGATCACAGGGAAATGCTTCAAAGGGACTTGGGTGCCTCTATTGTTAACCTGCAAGGCAAAGACAGGGCTGGCATAGCCCAGAGGAGTGCCCTTGAGTGGCTAATAAGTTCACACTAGAGATAAAGGTAATAAGGTGACTTGGTCCTGGGTACGCTGAGAACCATCACAAGCACCCACCTAGAAGAGTTGTACCAGATGCATCTAGGCTACAATGCCATTCTTCTGATTTGACCCATATAGTCTAGAGATGGAAAAGATCTATTATTTTATCAAGTGCGGGACTGAATTTATTTCTTTGGTCTTCTAGTTAGTCTCAATTTTCAATGCCCCAACAGATGGGCCTTTTAGCACTTCCCTCTGGAGACTATTACACAATCTAACAGCTCTGTCAGAAAGTCTACCCTGATATGAAATCTAATTGCCTAAATCTCCCTCTTCGTAACTTAAAATCCTTAATCCTAGTTATATTCTAGCCTCTCCTCCTTGACCCCAGGAAAGGCAACATGTCATCTATGTACAGCTTAGCCATCTTCAGACTCCATCGACAACAGCAGCTTCCAGTGTACACTTTGAGCTGCTGCTGGTAACAGTTTTACTTTCTTGTTGGGCCAAGCACCTTTTTGCAAAACTGCCTTCCGCAATCTCCCCCCTCCCCCAACAACCTCAAGCAACAGGCGCACACAAAAGCAGAAGCAAAACTTGAGCAAGAGCACTGAATAGCTCCAAGAGGAGCATAGCACAGCCAGCACGCCACACAGCATGCAAAATAATGTACCAAATGATGCTGTGTTGTGTTTGACCTAACAGGGAGCCATGAATATTGAGTCACTGAATCACAAGCTGTAATAAGCCAAATGTTCCAACCGTCCAGAGCATTCTAATTATTGATTTACAGCAGGAGAAACCTGGATTGTCATTTAACTACTCCACTTTTAGATGCCACTCGCCATGGCTTAGTGCCTTTCATATAAACTGCTCTGTACTAGGGTGCTATTTAACAGAGGGATTCTTGGCCTCTATCTTGTAGAGCTGTGAGTTAAACACAGACATTTCTGCTTCACTTTTTGCTAGATTAGCTCAAATGTCAGAACACCATACTTGTCTACCTCTTAGCCATAGTCACCTTGAAAGTTGTGCAGTATCCAGAGCACAAGCCCCTCCCAATCCAAAATAAACCACTAAAATTCAACAGGGCCAGTATTTTGCTCTGATAGACATGAAGGACAAATTCATTCAATGATTTCAGTCCAAGAACTGTTGGAAATACTACCTTTGCCCTAGAGGGATTAAAAAAGATTCTATGCTTATCACTTCCTAACTGTGCAATCATCAATTAATCCACTATATAAATCAAATACTATAGTAGCTTCAAGATGTAGTCCAAAATAATGGAGTGACGTAACCCATTTATACACAGAATTACTATTTTGGAGGATGAAGGAATAAGAAGCCGGCTGCTGGAAAGCCAGGATAGAGTGCAGCACCCAAGAACCAGGAGTTCCTAGCCATTGAAAGGTGAGTTTCCTTACACCAGCAATTCTCAAAGTGTGAAGCTGGCCATCTTGGGGAGCCTCCAACAAAAACAGGAGAAAGATAATTTTCATTTAAAATTCAGCCAAGGCAGAACCATAGGAAGCTAAAGCAAAGCAAGGCTATCCTATCCTATGGGAAATATAGTCTGTGCTCCATTGGTTTATACTAATTGGCTTTTGCAAAGTCCCAACTGGAAAAGAGAGAACAAGTAAGGGAAATATATTGGCTCCCCATGACTATGTTAACCTACCAGAATTCACAATTTGTCCTCTCATCCCCCCCTATGATTTTTCTGCAATGGGGAAAGTCTCCCCACAGCCTCATTAACAACAATTGTTTCAAAGCCAGTTAGAAGGGATTCTACGACTGAGAAACCCTAGTGAAGTGATCACCAAATTCACTGTTCTGTTTATATAGCAACCCTCATCCAGAAGGAACTTTATAATTATATACATAGCAATCACTTCATCCACCACTAAAATGCAGCCACCTCTAGGTTGAAACATGGCAGCTGCTAAACTGCAGATAGCACCCCTATACCATTTAGGACAAGAATATGGGGCCAAATCCTCAGCTGGTGTAAAATAAAAATTGAGGATTGTGTCCAATTAGACCAGCTTTAGAAAAGAGTTGGCCATTGTTACCAGTTTATCTGCCCATTGTGCTGGCTGTTGACTCCATTACGGAACTCTGCTAGGGTAGCATTTCTAGCTGACTATAGTTTAAGCAAGTTCAGCAATAACTAGAACTCAATGACTTCAGTATTGCTGCGTGTAGCTGCAATGTATTGAATCCCTGAGTCTATTCCCCCCACCCCCATTCTTCCCAGACATGTCTATTCAAGACCGTTTAAGTTCCTGTTTCTTCCCCATCCCATCAAAAAAAGCTGATAATACACATTCACATATTTTGGAACACAAGAGCTATCTCTGGAAACAAAATTGGGAAGGGTCTTTGTGTTAAAACCTGTGCATTGTTACATGTGGGTAGCTCACAAGGGAGTTTGTAAAGTTCTTTGAAAATATAAAGGGCTACATAAAAACCACGTATCATTATAACCTTTACCACAGGCTTTAAATTACATGGTTCAGGGCTCAGTTCTTCAAGGGGCTGAGCTCTCCAAGAGCTCCTGGTAATGGGAGTTCAGGACTCTTCTCAACACAATGCAGCATCAAGCCCTGAGTTAGCCATGTGTTAAAGGCTTCTCTGCTCCCAAGTTATGTTTTTTAGCCAGCAGGGCCAAGTTCATTCTAACCCTGCCCCCTCAGCTTTTAAATACACACTGAAAAGAGAAAAAGCCATTAGTAACTAAGACCCCAATCCTGCAAACTGCTCCACATGGGCAGAGCCTTGTACTTGTAGAGTCATGTTCTTCTCACACTTTGGGCCCAAGAAAGTGAAAGTGGGTTCTGTCATCTTGAGCTTCAGCTGAACGGGATTTGAAAACAGGCTTCTCCATAGGTCTGGATCTAATCCCAAAATTTTAAGGTTTGAATCTGGTGATTTCATTCTCAATCCTCCCAAAATGCAGGGGAAGGCACAGATTTTAGATTATAGGTCCTAGTTTAGCTCCATCTCTAGTTATTCTGGAAAAGGTATGAGGGCAAAAGGTAGTGAGAACAAGTTCTATTCCTACATATTGTATGTGTTTCAATCATGGTATAGTTTATTCACTTTTCATTTAATTTATGAGTCCTGAAACCCTGAAAGCATTTTGGAAAGATAGCAATCTAGGAAGTAAATTCTAAACCTGAGAAGCTATCAGGTGGGCAACTTCAAACAAATTAAATCTTTGTAGGGGATGGGGCACACTAGAAGTACCCTCCACCAGTAACATTATACTTTCTTTTGAGAGCAAAAATTACCCAGATATAAACAATTTACACGAGTGAGCCCAAACTTGGAATAAATTAGTTCTCTTGCTGCTTGCCTTAACATTACCCTGTCTACCACCCGTTCTATCTTTGTCCTCTTCATTGTATCGGTCTTCCCATCCAGAGATCACACCCCTTCTCCCTTCAGATAAAATCATCTCCTATCCCCAGTTTCCTTGAAGTCCAGATTCTGATACTCTCACTACTCTTAAGCCTCTTTCTTTCACTGCCTATCCACCTTATATAGCACCTATGCTCCCAAGAAGCCTAATTGTTACTCCAGCTGTGACCGTAGGGTACATTAGTGCCTCCTCAGGCAGGGACAAAAATTGCAGCTGAAAACTATAAATCACATCATTTATTTTTGTTGTCTTACATGTCATACAGGAGCCAACTGAAGCCTGCACACAGCCACTTTTTCCACCCCACCTTCTCCTTTTCCAAAACAGATTGAAAAGTCACAACACACACATTTTAAAGGAAAGGTTATAAATAATATATGCAAGTTATCCTCACAATGAGTTTACCCTAGGGAAGTAATGCAAAGGTAGAAGAGATCAATTTTATAAGCTATAGCTCAGGGGTTCTCAAACTGGGGGTCAGGACCACTCAGGGGATCGCAAGGTTATTACATGGGGGGTTGCGAGTGGTCAACCTCCACCCCAAACCCCGCTTTGCCTCCAACATTTATAATAGTGTTAAATATATAAAAAAGTGTTTTTAATTCATGGGGGGGGGTCGCACTCAGATTTGCTATGTGAAAGGGGTCACCAGTAAAAAAGTTTGCGAGCTACTGCTATAGCTCCTTTGTAACTTGACAGATCTGACTTTTCACAATAAGATCCATAAGCATGAGATATACAAAGCTCACCTGAATGTTAGAGATGCATCTCCAGGGGCCTCGTCCATTTGAAAATTCTCTCCCCCTTTTTGTGCTTTTTAAAATAAAACCCAGAATGTGCCTTTCATCCAGTCTGTTTTAAATAGATACTCAAAAATTCCCAGTCACCTCACTGTTCTCGCCTTCTCTTCTGTGGGAAACAATTGCCAGTGACAGCTTGACGTGCAAATCTTCACCACACTCAGAAGAGGACAGCAAAGATAACCATGCCACCAGACACTCTGTTTCCTTCCCCAGACCTGAAGAAGAGCCCTGTGTAGTTTGAAAGTTTGTACCTTCCACCAGCAGAAGTTGGTCCAATAAAAGGTATTACTTCACCCACCTTGTCTCGCTCATATCCCGGGAACAACAGGGCTACAATAACACAGCAAACATGCCATTTTACTTATTCTTTGCTGCCCTCTGCTGGGCCATTTCCATCCTGCAGCAATCAGGGACCAACCCCTGCCAATACGTTCAAAAGAAAGGGCATTTGTAAAGACACAGGCACTTGGGAGTCTGAACAATCTATTAATATATTTTAAAAGCAAAATTGAATAAAGCCACCCTCAAAATTACAAACTAGAGGCTCACTCCTGTGATGTCAGTGGCAGTGATGGCACTCTGCTACTGGAACATGCACAGCACCTTGCAAGATCAGGAGAAATAGAGGCCCTGCATAGATAGAAGGGGAAAGGTTGTCTATCTGTGGCCAGAAGTTATAATAAAAGCAATTTCGGAAGGGAAAAATGTTCTCAGGTATTGTTCAAAAACAAGGAGGAATGGCAGATTGCCAAGAAGATATGAATTCCACACTTTGGGGGCGATCACAGCATATATCACAGCAAAATCACCACCAATTGCCAGTCTAGCACATGGACAGTGGAATCTATTAAAGCAGATAGGCATTTTCATTCTGCCCCATTAGAATGCTGCTCAAGGAGGAAGCACAGAAGAGCAGAGAGGATTAGAATAGAATGGAGTCAATGAGAGCTCCCCCATGGATACGAACATAAATGTTTAATTGTTATGGGGCTGGGAAAAAAACTGTTGCAAACTGAACTTTACGGCCTGAAAAGAAGCTATCCCATGTTAATGCTCTAAAGCTCTTATTCCACTAAGATTCAGTGTTTATAGAAGAAAAAGAACACTTTATGCAAGAAGCAGGTTTTAGACTGTGACGTCATGTCTTAGGCCTCGTACACACTAGCGCTTAACTTCAATATAACTTAAGTTGCTCAGGCGTGTGAACCCCTCCTCCCCCCCAGACCTCCTGAGCGACGTAGGTTACACCAACCTAAGCACCGGTGTGGATAATGCTACGTTGGTGGGACAAGCTCTCCCGCTGACATAGCTACTGCTGCTCGGGGAGGTGGAGTAATTATGCCGATGGACGAGCTCTCTCCCGGTGGCATAGCATTTGCACTAGCAGCGCTACAGTCGTGCAGCTACATTGGTACAACTGCGCCGCTGTAGCGATTCTAGTAGAGACTTGCCCTTATTTGGGTTCAGTGGTTCAGAAAATGCATAAAACAGACCAATAAAAACAGCAGGGCTCTCCAGTGCCATTGGCCGCGGCTTGTCATTTTTCTATTGCCAGCGAATCATGCGAGCAGTTGCTGGGTGTATATTTCATGCTGGAATGCAGTTCTCAGTTTTAAAACATACAAGAGCAAATGCCTATTTTGAGCTATGGTAAAAACCCAACATTTATTCATACAGAGATTTATCTGACACCCGTCGCTTCCGCATCTGTGCTCCATATAAAATTTTGATGGCACCCTGCTTTTGCCAGTGGTAAAACAAGCCTTTGGGGTACAGATGACACAAACCCTATTCATCATCAGCTTAACAGTAAACAAAAATCCAGGAAACGGTGATAGCACATTATGTATGATGAGGGTCAGGTTCTGTACTATGCCTCTCAGAAAGTAAGTGCAGCTCCTAGGGACTGCTCTAATTTACAGCAGCTTTATCTGGCTGCCTATGAGTTGCTCTGCAGTCCAGAATTGCTGGAGCCCAGAATACTCTTACCATTCCTCCCCGCATGCACACCATGTCTTCTTCTGGCTTGTCCCTATACCAGGGATCATGAGAGAGGACAGCACAGGACTGCATATGCCCACCCTACACGCTTCTTCCCTATGGGAATGCTCCTTGGGGCCTGCTTCTCCCTTTTATGCTACAAGAGCAGCATAAAAAGGACCAGAACAGGGGGTCAGAATTTGGCCCCGAGAGGTATTAACAGGAGTGTCATATGTAAGACATGGCGGTAACTGTTTCACTTTACTCAGCACTGGTGAGGCCTCAGCAGGCATACGGTGTCCAGTTTTGGGCACCACACTTTAAGTACTGGAACAGGTTACCTAGGGAGGCTGTGGAATATCCATCTTTCAAGGTTTTTAAGAACAGGTTAGACAAACACCTGTCAGGGACGGTGTGTATTTAAACCTGCCTCAGCATGGGGGAAATGGATGAAATGACTCCAAGTCTCTTTCAACCCTACGTTTCTATGATTTTATAATATTCACTGTCATAATGTCATCTTCATACTCCTTACAAATCCGTGGGCAACATTTTCCTCATACAGTAAGTAATTACAGCTTTGAAGTGACCAGTGCTGCTTTCTTCCTATTGCAGGTCCTGAGTTGGCAATTTAACAGCCCATCATCATTCCTCATTTTTGAAGACCCATCCTAAAAAGACACAAATGAGCCTCATTTTCAAAGCCTCATTTTAAGGTTACAACAATGGGACAATGATCTTAATCAGCTCTTATAGCTCTGACAAAAGCTACTAGAGAATGATACAAAGGGAGAGTTTACGTCTCTTTTTCTGCCACGTACAAGTCATTCTTATAGGTAAGTTTCCTGAATTTTCCTCTGTCCCCTCCATGCACTGTGCCCAGATAAATGAACTCCAGTTCAAATTTTAAAAGGATTCAGAAGCATGTAGTTGGTCAGGACTAGTCACCCAGGGGGATTTTTTAGTATTTGCATTTGTGTGAATAACAATTAAGTTTGTACAAAGATCCAAACTGTTTTACTTTTCTAAAAAAGACAAATTTTAAATGATCAGTGATATTTTTAAAATGCACTGAGAAGAAAACAAAATTTTATACAAGGTTTAATTTTTAATAGGTGTTGTGTGAGCATTATACAAAGTATGCAGCCAGAGCTGCCATTTTGTCCTTGGGTCTCTTTGGGTTCGGTCTCCTGCCCTTTCCTCTTCCTCGACCCTGCCTTTTCCCCTGTCCTCCACGATGCATAGGGTGCCTCGTGGCAGCGTGCTTAAGCTCCACCAGGTCCTGGAACACAGGGTCACAGAAGACACAGCCTGAATGCTGTGTCTCATCACCAGGGAGGGGAGACTTAGCTTTATTAAAATCCACATCCACAAGGGCCGCATCACATGACTCGCAGGTCTCTGGCGACACTCGCACTTTGTGGGCATTCTCAAAGAAGTGCACAATCACATTGCATTTGTTGCAGGCCATCTTCCACTTGGGACCTGACGTTGGGTCTAGTACCAGAACCCCGTTCTCGCATTCCACACACTGCCCGATTCCAAGCATGCTAAGCGAGTGCTGGCATGTTGGGTGGGTACACTCGTTACAGCCCATCCCTAGGGAAAAGAGTAAAACCACATCATCAGAAACTTCGTGTTCTATTTTTGCATTTTGCAGGAAATGTGATGTAGGATTTAAACAGAGCTAAATGTACTCTATATACCCTGAGAGCCCTATGCACAATACAGTGGGTTAAGGATGAAGTCTCAGGCTTAACTCAGTCTTCTCAGCCCAGAAGTCTAGATGTGGAAACAAGGAGAATTCAGTGGTTCTGGAGTAACAGACCCCCCCCCCCCCAATGTTAAAATAAAAATCACCCAATGATATAAAATTGGGTCCAAGACTTAAGTAGGTAAGACCCCATTCCGATCAACCCATTACTATTCTGATGTTTACTGTGGAACTACTCCATGGAAGTCAACAGTGGAGCTTACAGGATCAGTGAATCATAGCTAAGGTAGAGCTGAAGTAGGACAGGCAAAACTCTTGCCCTGCACTGCCACTGTGATTGCTCTGAAGAGTTCTCAATGTCACTGTACAATGAAGAGTAATGGAGAAATTTATAATGAAAATACACTATATGTCCCACTGAAAATAGATTTATTATGTCCACTTGTTGTCTCATATGGAGACTGTAAGCTGTTTGGAGCAGGGAACCACCTTTTATTGTGTGTGTATTGTATTACCATACCACGATAGAGCCCGAATCCACAACTGAGGCCTCTAAGGGTACCTTAATATGAACAAGAATCATGATGATAAAAAAAACTGGCATTTTAGCTAGAAGTTAGTCTCACATTTCTCAGGCTAAACGCACCTCTAACCCCCCCCCC